CATAATTGGTCGCATTGAGAGGTGATCGTAAAACGGGGGTCCACTTTATAATTACCTTTGTACATCTATAAATCTTAAAATAATAAATTATAATTTCATTGAACATTAAAATGGTATGAAATACCGACAGATTGTTAGGTAAGACACATATGCAACAGTTAGGTATCTTTATTTCGAAACGTTTCGCCTACACAGTAGGCTTCTTCAGTCGAGTACAGAAAGGTTGATAGAAGCAGAAGATACTTGAAGACGATGTAATCAGTCCATCACCCTTAAAGTTTTGAGGTGGTCAGTCCCTCAGTCTGGAGAAGAGCATTGTTCCGTTGTCTGAAACAATATGAAGTTGAAGTGACAGAATGGGGCCTTTATATAGTGCCAGGAGGTGAACGTAGGTTGCTTTGGAGGGCAGGTCCTTCTCAAAACCCAGCCGTTCTCACTAGTAGAGGTTGTCGAAGTGGTCTGTACCAAGATACCCTTGTGTTGCAGTGTCTGACAGAATGAACATTAAAATGGTATGAAATACCGACAGATTGTTAGGTAAGACACATATGCAACAGTTAGGTATCTTTATTTCGAAACGTTTCGCCTACACAGTAGGCTTCTTCAGTCGAGTACAGAAAGGTTGATAGAAGCAGAAGATACTTGAAGACGATGTAATCAGTCCATCACCCTTAAAGTTTTGAGGTGGTCAGTCCCTCAGTCTGGAGAAGAGCATTGTTCCGTTGTCTGAAACAATATGAAGTTGAAGTGACAGAATGGGCCTTTATATAGTGCCAGGAGGTGAGACGTAGGTTGCTTTGGGAGGGCAGGTCCTTCTCAAACCCAGCCGTTCTCACTAGTAGAGGTTGTCGAAGTGGTCTGTACCAAGATACCCTTGTGTTGCAGTGTCTGACAGAATGAACATTAAAATGGTATGAAATACCGACAGATTGTTAGGTAAGACACATATGCAACAGTTAGGTATCTTTATTTCGAAACGTTTCGCCTACACAGTAGGCTTCTTCAGTCGAGTACAGAAAGGTTGATAGAAGCAGAAGATACTTGAAGACGATGTAATCAGTCCATCACCCTTAAAGTTTTGAGGTGGTCAGTCCCTCAGTCTGGAGAAGAGCATTGTTCCGTTGTCTGAAACAATATGAAGTTGAAGTGACAGAATGGGGCCTTTATATAGTGCCAGGAGGTGAGACGTAGGTTGCTTTGGGAGGGCAGGTCCTTCTCAAACCCAGCCGTTCTCACTAGTAGAGGTTGTCGAAGTGGTCTGTACCAAGATACCCTTGTGTTGCAGTGTCTGACAGAATGAACATTAAAATGGTATGAAATACCGACAGATTGTTAGGTAAGACACATATGCAACAGTTAGGTATCTTAGGGTATCTTGGTACAGACCACTTCGACAACCTCTACTAGTGAGAACGGCTGGGTTTGAGAAGGACCTGCCCTCCCAAAGCAACCTACGTCTCACCTCCTGGCACTATATAAAGGCCCCATTCTGTCACTTCAACTTCATATTGTTTCAGACAACGGAACAATGCTCTTCTCCAGACTGAGGGACTGACCACCTCAAAACTTTAAGGGTGATGGACTGATTACATCGTCTTCAAGTATCTTCTGCTTCTATCAACCTTTCTGTACTCGACTGAAGAAGCCTACTGTGTAGGCGAAACGTTCGAAATAAAGATACCTAACTGTTGCATATGTGTCTTACCTAACAATCTGTCGGGATTTCATACCATTTTAATGTTCATTCTGTCAGACACTCCAACACAAGGGTATCTTGGTACAGACCACTTCGACAACCTCTACTAGTGAGAACGGCTGGGTTTGAGAAGGACCTGCCCTCCCAAAGCAACCTACGTTCCTCCTGGCACATTAAAAAACCCCTTCTGTACTTCAACTTTAATATTGTTTCAGCAAGGGAAAAATTCTTCTCCAACTGGGGCTGCCACCTCAAAACTTTAAGGGGGGATGGACTGATTAATCGTCTTCAAGTATTTGCTTCTATAACCTTTTTTTACTCGACTAAAAAAAGCCTACTGTGTAGGCGAAAAGTTTGAAATAAAAATACTAACTGTTGAATGTGTCTTTCCTAACAATCTGTCGGATTTCATACCATTTTAATGTTCATTCGTAGACACGCAAAACAAGGTATTTGGTACAGACCACTTCGACAAAACCCCTATAGTGAGAACGGCTGGGGGTTTTAGAAGGACCTGCCCTCCCAAAGCAACCTACGTTCACCTCCGGCACTAAAAAGGCCCCTTCTGTCACTTTAATTCATATTGTTTCAGCAACGGAACAAGTCTTCCCAGACTGAGGGACTGACCACCTCAAAAATTTTAAAAGGGGATGGACGATTTCCTCTTCAAGTTCTTCTGCTTCTACAACCTTTCGTACTGCGAAAAAAGCCCGGTAGGCGAAACGTTTCGAAATAAAAATACCCAACTGTTGCATATGTGTCCCTTTTATAATTTATTCATTGACCCTCCTAAACATGTACATTCCTGACACCATTGGTCACAGTAATTGATAAAAATAATAAAAATTTTAAAATCATCTCTATACATATAATATACACTGGGTCACACGAACTTTTCCTACCCACAGGGTCAGCCTTTTTCAGTATCACCCCGTGTCTTTTCCCCTATACATATACATTACTGGATTTTTTCCACCACACAGGGTAAGTCCTTTTTCATATCACCCCTGTGTCTTTTTCTCTTACATATACTTACATGCGTTCATCCTACCCAAGGGTACAGTCCTTCCTCGTTCATCCCCCGCGTTTTTCTTATACATATACATTACTGGCAGTTCCCTACCACACAGGGTACAGTCCTTTTTCGTTCACCCCTGTGTCTTCTCCTATACATTACATTCATGCAGTTTTATCCCACCACACAGGGTACAGTCCTTCTTCAGTATCACCCCTGCGTCTTTCTCTCTATACATATACATTACACGGCAGTTCATCCTACCACACAGGGTACAGTCCTTCCTCAGTATCATCCCTGCGTCTTTCTCTCTATACATATACATTACATGGCACTTCATCCTACCACACAGGGTACAGTCCTTCTTCAGTATCACCCCTGTGTCTTTCTCTCTATACATATACAGTACATTACACGGCAGTTCATCGTACCACACAGGGTACAGTCCTTCCTCAGTATCATCCCTGTGTTTCTCCTCAGAAACCAACAAGTCACTGACACCCAGTGTCACACGACACTACAGTCTCTCAGTGTTACACTACGCCCTTTTCTTACATTAGTGCCACACTCTGCCTCTTCCTCCAGTGTCACACTACGATCCCATCCTTTCTTCAGTGTCACACTCCGACCCTATCTTCTTTTAGTGTCACACTGCTCCGTCACGACTTGCTGCAGGTGGTCAGGTGAATACTGTCTCTTGCCAGTATACCGTAAAATGGTCAAATAAGTACCATCCACTGCCAGTAGATCTGTACCATAAGGTGGTCAGGTAAGTACTACTAAAGACCAGTAGGTATACACCGTAAGATGGTCAGGCGAATACTGTTTCCACTACCAGTAGTTCAGACCAGTAGGTATATACCGTAAGATGGTCAGGCGAATGCTGTTTCCACTGCCAGTAGATCCAAGACCAGTAGGTATACACCATCAGATGGTCAGGCGAATACTGGCTACTGCCTCAGACCAGTTGGTATACACCGTAAGGTGGTCTGGTGAATACTGCTTCCAAGGCCGGCTCAGCAGTCCCCACATTGGGTCTGATGACGTACCCAGTGGTACTGCCAGCCGGCAGGTTAACAATCCAACCACTTGTTTGGCAGGGGCCATCACACTGGTTGATCAGGCTCTGATCCACCAGGAGGCCTGGTCACAGACCGGGCTGCAGGGACGTTGACCCCCGGAACTCTCTCCAGGTAAACTCCAGGTAAACTATGACAGTTCTTCCACATGGCGTTCAATTTTTAATGTATTTTTTCAACTACATTTATAAAACTCAAATTGTATAGGGAAGTTTTACAAGTGAGCTGACTATATGATCGAGGTGTATAAATGGAAAACAGGAATAAATAAAGGGGATGTAAATAGCGTGCTGAAAATTTCCAGCCAAGACAGGACTCGCAACAATGGTTTCAAGTTGGAAAAATTCAGATTCAGAAAGGATATAGGAAAGCACTGGTTTGGTAATAGAGTTGTGGATGAGTGGAACAAACTCCCGAGTACAGTTATTCAGGCTAAAACGTTGTGTAGTTTTAAAAATAGGTTAGATAAATACATGAGTGGGTGTGGGTGAGTGTGAGTTGGACCTGACTAACTTGTGCTGCTGGGTCTGGTACAGTGCTCCATCCTTGAGTGGAGATGATCAGACTGGGTGGCTCATTGGGCTAATCCGGGGGTGGGTCATTGGTCTAATCTGGGGGGGGGGGGGACATGGACCTGCTCCGCATGGGTCAGTGGACCTGTTGCAGTGTTCCTTCTTTCTTATGTTCTTATATAAGGGAGCTTTATAAGTAAGCTGACTATATAGGGAAGCTTTATAGGCTGACTATATAGGGGAGCTTTATAAGTAAGTTGACTATATAGGGGAGCTTTATAAGTAAGCTGATTATGTAGGGGAGCTTTATAAGTTGACTATATAGGGGAGCTTTATAAGTAAGCATACTATATGGGAAGCTTTATAAGTGAGCTGACTATATAGAGCTTTATAAGTGTGCTGAATATATAGGGGAGCTTTATAAGTGAGCTGAATATATAGGGGAGCTTTATAAGTGAGCTTACTATGTAGGGGAGCTTTATATGTGAGCTGACTACATAAGGGAGCTTTGTAAGTAAGCTGACTGTATAGCAGAATTTTATAAGTAAGCTGACTGTATAGAGGAGCTTTTTAAGTAAGCTGACTATATAGAGGAGCTTTATAAGCTGACTATATAGGGGAGCTCTATAAGTAAACTGACTATATAGGGGAGCTTTATAAGTAAGCTAACGCTTGCTAATACGTCACATTGTTTTCAGATACATCTACCACTTCTTGGAGTGTGTTCCATTTCCCAGTGCTCGGAGACCCAGAATCCTCATCCAGCTGGACGCCAAAGAACGTATATCTCTGGCACAGCCCGAAGATTCTCCCATATGCTTAAGGTAGTGTGCCGAGTCATCTGTTCGTCCTCTCACTGCTGCTCTGCGGAGGACCTGTTGCATAATCTGTGGCATACAGGGGTCTCCCTCACTCTGTGTGAAATGGTTTTTTCAGAATTTTCATTGATGTAAATCCCCATTTCATCTGCAGGGTCATGTGCAATCAGTATTGTTTGTAAAAGATTTTGAAAATTCTTATTATGCAGAATTGTGTGTTGATGGCTGGAAATAACTTACTGTATTTTCTGGCATATAAGGCACATTTTTTCATCACATAAAGTCTTGGAAAATCAGCCTGCACCTTATATGCTCAAGGTCAGAGTCAAGGGTAGACTTTGGGTTATGCTTTCAAAAATGAAAATTTTTATTTCCTTGCGAAGCTTACAGTGTGTGGTTTACATATTATAAAATATTAATTACAAAGAAGGCCACTAGCATGCCTAGGCATTTTGGGCAGACTAATCCTAATTCTTACTCTATACTGACACAAGTTCTTGAGCAGTACACTTTAATATAAATTATTGCATGCTGATATAAAAGTTAGGTAACTGAAGTGATTAACATTAATTAGAGTGATAATAGTGAGGTAGTACAGAACATAATAATATTAGAATTAGTAAATTTAGTAATGACTATGTGCTCATATGTCAGAAAATATAGTATCATTGGTGCCATGGGCCCAGTATATACTGGCTCTCCTCACTTAATGACCAAGTTTCATTATTAAGTGACAGAACTCAGAATACACCAGCTAACCCCTTTACAGTGAACTTCTATTGTACTTTTTCTGTTCTTTCCTCCTCCTCCTCTTCTTCCTCTTCCAAGTGCTGGTGCACTTCCAAGTCTGTAAAATCTTCATTGGTTAGCTCTCCCTCGACCAAAGTTCTTGTACAGTGTACCATAGTGACTGGTCAGAGAGCTGGTCGTAATTCCATGCTGTGGTTAAACAGGTAGGTCATTAAGTGAGGAGTGTCTGTATCTACTGCACAATACTGAGGATGCCTGTATCTTGTTGTAATAATGTTGTGTGATGGGTGAGTAACTTAAGCATGGTTCTTTACACCTGTTACCCCAGTTCAAATAGCAGTAAATAGGTACCTGGGTGTTACCCACCTTACACCTGTTGTCCCAGTTCAAATAGTAAATAGGTACTTGGGTGTTAGTCAACTTGTGGATGATATTCCTGTGGGGAGGAGAGATAATATTCTTTAAGTAAAGCTTAGGTTGTAAATGAGTTGAGGCAGACTAGCAGTTTGTAGTCTGTAAATGCAACGTTGATTTTTTACAATACTATATATAAAATGAATGACTTCGAGAGTGTATAAATCTGTAGTGGAGGGAAGATAGGGTAGGGGTCGGCCTAGGAAAGGTTGGAGGGTAAAGAAGGTTTTGTGTGCAAGGGGCTTGGACTTCCAGCAAGCAAGTGTGAGAGTGTTAGATAGGAGCGAATGGAGACAAATGGTTTTGAGGATTTGACATGCTGTTGGAGTGTGAGCAAGGTAACATTTATGAAGGGATTCAGGGAAACCGGCAGGCCAGACTTGAGTCCTGGAGATGGGAAGTACAGTGTCTACACTGAAGGAGGGGTGTTAACCCCTTGACTGTCACAACCCCCAATCCTAAGGTGTCTCCTGGTGTCGCAAAATTTAACCCTCTGACTGTCGCGGCCGTATATATACGTCTTACGAGGTACTGTGTTTGACGTATATATACTCATAAATTCTAGCGGCTTCAAATCAAGCAGGAGAAAGCTGGTAGGCCCACATGTGAGAGAATGGGTCTGTGTGGTCAGTGTGCACCATTTAAAAAAAAAAATCCTGGAGCACGCAGTGCATAATGAGAAAAAAAAAACTCCGACCGTTTTTTTTTAATTAAAATGCCGACTTTGTGGTCTATTTTCATATAGTATTTATGGCTGTATTCTCGTTTTCTTGGTCTCATTTGATAGAATGGGAAACATATTATAGAAATAGAGGTGATTTTGATTGATTTTACTATAAAAAGAACCTAGAAATGGAGCTCAAAGTAGGGGAAATGTTTGATTTTTGCCAATGTTCAAAAGTAAACAAATGATGCCATTGTCCAATAAATGTCCAACTAGCCATTCTAATATGCAGTCATGAATGGGTTGATGTTATTTATACAATTATTACAGTATTGCAGTAGTCTGCATAATAGTAAGTCTTCTATTTTTTGTTTGAATAAAAATTCAAAATAGAAAGCAAGAGTAATATCAGAGGGGCCTGGAGATATGACTGATGAACAAAGAAAATGTTATTTTAGAGCCAGGAATGTCTGCATTGTTCGTTCTGGACCTTATTTTGAAATTGTCATATTTTTTAGTTTTTGTGAAATTGGCCAAATTGCAAATTTCTGACCACATTATTAGGTAGTTGAAATCGGTAAATGGGCAGTTTCTTGTACTCAATCGATAGAACAAATGGGGTTCTAAAGAAATAGCTATGAGTTTGGGTGACTGGAACAATGGAATTAGCCGAAAATAGGGCTCAAAGTGGGCGAAATCGCCGATTTGTAAACAGCGCCGAGGTCGCTAACTTCGCGAGAGCGTAATTCCATCAGTTTTCCATCAAATTTCGTTTTTTTTGGTGTCATTACAATCGGGAAAAGATTCTCTATCATTTCAAAAGAAAAAATGATTTTTTTTTTTAAATTTTGCGACACCAGGAGACACCTCAGGATTGGGGGTTGCGACAGTCAAAGGGTTAATTAAAAAAAACGGTCGGAGTTTTTTTTTTCTCATGCACTACGTGCTCCAGGATTTTTTTTATATGGTGCACACTGACCAAACAGACCCATTCTCTCACATGTGGACCTACCAGCTTTCTCCTGCTTGATTTGAAGCCGCTAGAATTTATGAGTATATATACGTCAAACACTGTACCTCGTAAGACATATATATACGGCTGCGACAGTCAAAGGGTTAATGTTGCAGTTTTATAACTGTAGTGTAAAGCACCCTTCTGGCAAGACAGTGATGGAGTGAATGATGGTGAAAGTTTTTCTTTTTCGGGTCACCCTGCCTTGGTGGGCCACCCTGCCTTGGTGGGCCACCCTGCTTTGGTGGGCCACCCTTTTGGTGGCCACTGCTGGTGGGCTGCCCTGCCTTGGTGGGCCGCCCTGCCTTGGTGGGCCACCCTGCCTTGGTGGGTCACCCTGCCTTGGTGGACCACCCTGCCTTGGTGGACCACCCTGCCTTGGTGGGCCACCCTGCCTTGGTGGGCCACCCTGCCTTGGTGGGCCACCCTGCCTTGGTGGGCCACCCTGCCTTGGTGGGCCACCCTGCCTTGGTGGACCACTCTGCCTTGGTGGACCACCCTGCCTTGGTGGACCACTCTGCCTTAGTGGGCCACCCTGCCTTGGTGGGCCACCCTGCCTTGGTGGGCCACCCTGCCTTGGTGGACCACCCTACCTTGGTGGACCACCCTGCCTTGGTGGACCACCCTGCCTTGGTGGGCCACCCTGCTTTGGTGGGCCACCCTGCTTTGGTGGGCCACCCTGCCTTGGTGGGCCACCCTGCCTTGGTGGGCCACCCTGCCTTGGTGGGCCACCCTGCCTTGGTGGGCCACCCTGCCTTGGTGGGATGCCCTGCCTTGGTGGGCCACCCTGCCTTGGTGGGCCACCCTGTCTTGGTGGGCCACCCTGCCTTGGTGGGCCACCCTGCCTTGGTGGGCCACCCTGCTTTGGTGGGCCACCCTGCCTTGGTGGGCCACCCTGCCTTGGTGGACCACCCTGCCTTGGTGGGCCACCCTGCCTTGGTGGACCACCCTGCCTTGGTGGGCCACCCTGCCTTGGTGGGCCACCCTGCCTTGGTGGACCACCCTGCCTTGGTGGACCACCCTGCCTTGGTGGGCCACCCTGCCTAGGTTGGCCACCCTGCCTTGGTGGGCCACCCTGCCTTGGTGGGCCACCCTGCCTTGGTGGGCCACCCTGCCTTGGTGGGCCACCCTGCCTTGGTGGACCACCCTGCCTTGGTGGACCACCCTGCCTTGGTGGGCCACCCTGCCTTGGTGGGCCACCCTGCCTTGGTGGGCCACCCTGCCTTGGTGGGCCACCCTGCCTTGGTGGACCACCCTGCCTTGGTGGGCCACCCTGCCTTGGTGGGCCACCCTGCCTTGGTGGGCCACCCTGCCTTGGTGGGCCACCCTGCCTTGGTGGGCCACCCTGCCTTGGTGGACCACCCTGCCTTGGTGGACCACCCTGCCTTGGTGGACCACCCTGCCTTGGTGGACCACCCTGCCTTGGTGGGCCACCCTGCCTTGGTGGACCACCCTGCCTTGGTGGGCCACCCTGCCTTGGTGGACCACCCTGCCTTGGTGGACCACCCTGCCTTGGTGGACCACCCTGCCTTGGTGGACCACCCTCTGCCTGCTTGGTGGGCCACCCTGCCTTGGTGGGCCACCCTGCCTTGGTGGACCACCCTGCCTTGGTGGACCACCCTGCCTTGGTGGACCACCCTGCCTTGGTGGGCCACCCTGCCTTGGTGGGCCACCCTGCCTTGGTGGACCACCCTGCCTTTTTGGACCACCCTGCCTTGGTGGGCCACCCTGCCTTGGTGGGCCACCCTGCCTTGGTGGGAGATGGCAGATGTGTTAATAGTAAAATAAAAAATATAAAATGACAGGCCTTTTAATTAGTGAGACTTGATTTATGAAGTACCACCAGCACCTACATCAAGGGAATCCCCCTTGATGTAGGTGAAAGGCTCTTGATCCAAGGGATTTAGGTTATCCTTCTCTTACTCAGGTAGACTTGATTATCTCAGTCCCTAGACTCTGTGTCTTAGGGAGATGCTCCTGAATATGTGTATAGATAATTTAATGAATAATGTATACTATATGGCAAAATAACACACTGTGAAAAATAGTGAACTAAGAAGTACTTTTGTGATTTCTCACATTATCAGTGTGAAAAATCACAAAAGCACTTGGAAATTTACTATTGTTTCACAGTGGTTATTTTGTATTGTGATATCAGGTTTACTTGATCCAAGTTGTATATTATGTGTAATGCTATTATATCGTGTACTGTAATATTCACAGCGGAGCCAAGTTCCACCAGTTAGTGATGAACCTGCGTCCAGAGGGCTGTCTGACAGTGCTGCTCTTTGCTCTCACCGAACAGAAAATCCTCTTGCATTCTCTCAGACCAGACGTTCTCACTGCAGTCTCTGAGGCCATCAGTATGGTGGTACCTCACTCATCACCTGGCGCTGTTTTCCCAGCTGAGTGGCGAATAATTAGTGCCACTTGTAGATTGCTGATGTTATTAATGTGTCTTCCAGGGGAAGAAAATCGGGTGATGTGAGTCTTGACCATTACATGACCCACTGAGTGAGTTGTTAAGTGTGTTTTAATATTGTGTAATTGCTGGTGTGTAACCATGACTCAAGGAACATTGTGCTGTGACGACATTGGTTCTCCTCACCTGCTGAGTGTGTAACCTGACTCAAGGGAACACTGTGACTGTGCAGAACACTTGGTTCTCCTCACTGCTGGTGTGTAACATGACTCAAGAACACTTGTGCCTGACAGAACACTTGTTCTCCACGCTGCTGGTTTACCTTGACTCAAGGAACACTTGTGCGTGACGAACACTTGAGTTCTCCCATGCGCTGTTGTAACCATGACTCAAGGATACACTGTGCCTGTGCAACACTTGTTCTCCTAATGCTGGTGTGTAACCTATGACTTCAAGGAACAACTTGTGCTGTGACAGACACTTGGTTCTCCTGCTGCTGGTTGTAACCTTGACTCAAGGAACACTTGTGCCTGTGACTTTAAATTGGTTCTCTCGCTGCTGGTGTGTAACCATGACTCAAGGAACACTTGTGCCTGTGACAAAACACTTGGTTCTCCTCGCTGCTGGTGTGTAACCATGACTCAAGGAACACTTGTGCCTGTGACAGAGCACTTGGTTCTCCTCGCTGCTGGTGTGTAACCTGACTCAAGGAACACTTGTGCCTGTGACAGAACACTTGGTTCTCCTCCTGCTGGTGTGTAACCATGACTCAAGGAACACTTGTGCCTGTGACAGAACACTTGGTTCTCCTTGCTGCTGGTGTGTAACCATGACTCAAGGAACACTTGTGCCTGTGACAGAACACTTGGTTCTCCTACTGCTGGTGTGTAACCATGACTCAAGGAACACTTGTGCCTGTGACAGAACACTTGGTTTCCCTTGCTGCTGGTGTGTAACCATGACTCAAGGAACACTTGTGCCTGTGACAGAACACTTGGTTCTCCTCACTGCTGGTGTGTAACCATGACTCAAGGAAACACTTGTGCCTGTGACAGAACACTTGGTTCTCCTCACTGCTGGTGTGTAACCATGACTCAAGGAACACTTGTGCCTGTGACAGAACACTTGGTTCTCCTCGCTGCTGGTGTGTAACCATGACTCAAGGAACACTTGTGCCTGTGACAGAACACTTGGTTCTCCTCACTGCTGGTGTGTAACCATGACTCAAGGAACACTTGTGCCTGTGACAGAACACTTGGTTCTCCTCACTGCTGGTGTGTAACCATGACTCAAGGAACACTTGTGCCTGTGACAGAACACTTGGTTCTCCTCACTGCTGGTGTGTAACCATGACTCAAGGAACACTTGTGCCTGTGACAGAACACTTGGTTCTCCTCGCTGCTGGTGTGTAACCATGACTCAAGGAACACTTGTGCCTGTGACAGAACACTTGGTTCTCCTCGCTGCTGGTGTGTAACCATGACTCAAGGAACACTTGTGCCTGTGACAGAACACTTGGTTCTCTCACTGCTGGTGTGTAACCATGACTCAAGGAACACTTGTGCCTGTGACAGAACACTTGGTTCTCCTCGCTGCTGGTGTGTAACCATGACTCAAGGAACACTTGTGCCTGTGACAGAACACTTGGTTCTCCTCGCTGCTGGTGTGTAACCTTGACTCAAGAAATACACTCGTAGCTTGGAAGGTAGGAAGGAAGATACACTCTTACCTTGCCTATTTTGAACAGTTTCTCTCATTATTTGAAGGCATTGTTAGACTGCCTGTGCTTCAGCACTTCACAGCTTTAATGACTGTTCTATTTCTTTTATCCTAAATGTAAAATAGATTACAAATAGGCCCTTCAAGGGAGTGCCTTAATGCTGGTGAAGGGCTCTTGATTCAAGGAATTGGAGCTGACCTTCTGGATTAAGCCTCATGACCTTCCACTCTTCAGATATTACAAATTTAACAGTTCTTCATGACTATAATAATTCTAGATAGTAATAATGGTAGAATTACCAACAAAATGTTAGGTAAATGTTAAATATGCAATTAATGTGACATATTATTGTGGCAACATTTTGCTCTCCAGGAGCTTTATCAAGCTGTAACAGCTTGACAGATCTCCTGGAGAGTGAAACGTTCTCACAATAAAATATCGTATTACAGTCTCTCCTCACTTAACGACGGAGTTCTGTTCTTAAGACCATTCCGGTAAACTAATTTGTCACTAAGTAAGCAGCATACTATAATGGTAGTGGGTTTGTGTCAACCATCTTTGATGTTGTTTTAATGTCACCTTTGCACCATATATAACATTTTTAGTATATTTTTAAATGATTATATAGTAGTGTACTGTATATTGTAATAAACAGAATAGAGGAAATCAGCTCAAATATACATTATTTAGGTATTAATAATGGTCAGAGAGCCTGTTGTAAGTCCAAGTCGTCGATAAACGAGTACGTTGCTAAGTGAGGAGAGGCTGTAGTTGCATGTGTCCATTTACCTTAACAATAATTATACTGTTCTGTAGTTTATTGTATAAGTTGCTGAAGCTTTGTAAATTACAGTTAACTTTGCTATTTGTTGTTTTGTTTTCTTTCCAGATAATCTTCCCGTTCCACTGGCAGTGCCCATACATCCCACTGTGTCCGCTGGGCCTCTCAGACTTCCTCAATGCCCCCATACCTTTCCTCCTGGGTCTGGACTCCAGATTCTTCGACCTTTATGACCCTCCCCCAGACGTGATTTGCATAGATCTTGACACGGGAGCCATGTCTGTGTGAGTCATTCACTGTCGTTCATATCTTACTCTAATAAGAACCTTCCAGGAGAGAGAGAGGTTGGAAGTCAAATATTTCCTAACATGTGTCCCAGTGTGGTAGGGTCAATAATTTATCCTATTATAATAGAATTCTTAACATTTTTAATAACTTTTTAATAAATTCTCGTTCCATCACTATCTTGCCAGAGGTATGCAGAACTATAGTTCAAAAACTGTAACATATATCCACCTCTCCTTCAGAGTGCAGGCACTGTACTTCCCACCTCCAGGACTCTTAAGTCCAGCTGACTAGACATATGCTATCAGATCTTTAGAAGAGCACATACACATTCAACAGTTAATAATAAAAATAATGTATTTACAATAAATTGGAGCTTAATGTTTGTCGTAGGCATATGATTGAATTTATTATGCGATGTAATATTTACAATAAATTAGTTCCTGTGTTTGTCATGGGCATATGAATGAATTTATGTTTACCTTGTACAGACCTGATGACAAAAAGCACCTTGTGACCAAGATCCTTCCCAATCGTGCGGCTCGTATCCTCCGAGCATCACTAGAGAGCCTCTGCGAGAGAATCATCAAGTTTGAGAAATTACGACAGCAACATTTAAAGTCACAAAAAATTGAGCCGGACAGCAGTATCGATTCGGATTTCAAAATGAAGAGAAAAGAGGTACTGTTTAAAAAAAAAATGAGTACATTAAGTTCTTGTTAAAGTTCACTGTTACAGTTATTCCTTGATTAAACCATGGTTCGATTTACTATATTTCAACTCTGTAATGGGGCAATAGCAATTACAGTAGGACCCCAGTATCCGTGGGTCCGGTATCCATGGTTTCAGTTATCCGCGGTGTACCGTGGCCCACAAATAACCCTTAATTTTGCTTAATAATGGTTTCAAAGTAGTGACGAAAATTCTTCAAAGACTAAGAGAAGCTGTAACATGCTTCACATCAGTGAAAAAATGATAATTCTCCACTTATTGTGCACAATTTATCAATTAAACTTAATAATAGGTATGTACAGGACTTAATATCTGCAGTTTTGGTATCCACGGTAGGTCCTTGGACCATATCCCCCGTAGATACAGGGGTCCTACTGTACTTTGAAGGTCAAACTTAAGATAATTACCCAGCATGAAGGCAACAAGTCCATAACTTTTATTCGTTTATTAACTTTTCAGTACTGATATTGAGTTTATTTACTTACTCAGTGACAGTAGTTATTGATTTGCTTATTTATTTAGCATATTCATATTCTTTTTTTTTTTTTTTTTTTTTTCAACAAGTCGGCCGTCTCCCACCGAGGCAGGGTGACCCAAAAAAGAAAGAAAATCCCCAAAAAGAAAATACTTTCATCATCATTCAACACTTTCACCACACTCGCACATTATCACTGTTTTTGCAGAGGTGCTCAGAATACAACAGTTTAGAAGCATACACATATAAAGATACACAACATATCCCTCCAAACTGCCAATATCCCAAACCCCTCCTTTAAAGTGCAGGCATTGTACTTCCCATTTCCAGGACTCAAGTCCGACTATATGAAAATAACCAGTTTCCCTGAATCCCTTCACTAAATATTACCTTGCTCACACTCCAACAGATCGTCAGGTCCCAAGTACCATTCGTCTCCATTCACTCCTATCTAACATGCTCACGCACGCTTGCTGGAAGTCCAAGCCCCTTGCCCACAAAACCTCCTTTACCCCCTCTCTCCAACCCTTTCGAGGACGACCCCTACCCCGCCTTCCTTCCCATATAGATTTATATGCTTTCCATGTCATTCTACTTTGATCCATTCTCTCTAAATGACCAAACCACCTCAACAACTCCTCTTCTGCACTCTGACTAATACTTTTATTAACTCCACACCTTTTCCTAATTTCCACACTCCGAATTTTCTGCATAATATTTACACCACACATTGCCCTTAAACAGGACATCTCCACTGCCTCCAACCGTCTCCTCGCTGCTGCATTTACCACCCAAGCTTCACACCCATATAAGAGTGTTGGTACTACTATACTTTCATACATTCCCTTCTTTGCCTCCATAGATAACATTTTTTGACTCCACATATACCTCAACGCACCACTCACCTTTTTTCCCTCATCAATTCTATGATTAACCTCATCCTTCATAAATCCATCCGCCGACATGTCAACTCCCAAGTATCTGAAAACATTCACTTCTTCCATACTCCTCCTCCCCAATTTGATATCCAATTTTTCTTTATCTAAATCATTTGACACCCTCATCACCTTACTCTTTTCTATGTTCACTTTCAACTTTCTACCTTTACACACATTCCCAAACTCATCCACTAACCTTTGCAATTTTTCTTTAGAATCTCCCATAAGCACAGTATCACCAGCAAAAAGTAACTGTGTCAATTCCCATTTTGAATTTGATTCCCCAAAATTTAATCCCACCCCTCTCCCGAACACCCTAGCATTTACTTCTTTTACAACCCCATCTATAAATATATTAAACAACCATGGTGACATTACACATCCTTGTGTAAGACCTACTTTTACCGGGAAGTATTCTCCCTCTCTTCTACACACCCTAACCTGAGCCTCACTATCCTCATAAAAACTCTTTACAGCATTTAATAACTTACCACCTATTCCATATACTTGCAACATCTGCCACATTGCTCCTCTATGCACTCTATCATATTCATATTCATATTCGACTTACAATATTTTTGACTTACAATGGATTCGTCAAACGTAGCTCCTTCATAAGTCGAGGATCACTTGTAGTTCTGAGGGAGTATATATTTAAAAAGTCATCTATAACATAACTGGTAAACCATTTAATGTGCATAGTATATTTTACACAAGCAACTTATGACAACGTTTTGCTCTGACTTGGACCATTGATTAGTTAATGGTCCACGTCAGACAGAAACGTCGCCATGAGTTTTTTCTTCTATGTGCGGGTTATTTGTGTTTTGTTCCAGTCACGGTGTTGTGCCTTTTATTGTTCTTCAATATGATATACCCATGCTGGCTACCATCATACTTCTTGTGGCTGGTGAAGGGCTCTTGATTGAAATAATTGGAGCTACTTGCCCATTCCTTGGATGAAATCTGATTACCTTTGATTTCTTAGGTACAGTGTGATACTACAGATTGAACACTTCCCAAGAATATAATAATAATGTCTTCTATATGCTTTTGACTTTCTCCATCAACTTTTCCTTATTATATATTGTACATTTTTGACTATTTTTGTCTGTTTTTGAAAGTTTAATACATTATAAATTAGACACATTGACTCTAGGCTGAGGGACTGATTACCTCAAACTCCTTTTAATCTTCAACTATTCTCTGTATTGGACTGATGAAGCCACTGTGTGGCAAAACATTTCCACAATAAAGATACCCAAGTGTTGTATGTGTGTCTAATCTATCAGCTTGTCAGTTCTCCGAACCATTTATCTACATTCACTACTTTATAGTTATTCTTCTGGGTCTGTATCTTCTTATTTTGCCAGTGGATTTTCACTTCACTGTCAATCATATATGATTAAATACTCATCTCTTCTGGTGGCAATATAACAGTCACTTCCATGTAGGTCCTTATCGTACTCACATTGTATAACTTTCACCTCACTTTTTGCCTATATATACTGTGTTTTTAAACACTGTGTGTTAGAAGTGATCAAGGTCCCAGGACCAAAACTTTTCTAATAAATATGTCCTAGTGTTTGTTTGTGTGCCTTGCTGAACTAACTTGTCAGTAACTACTACCAAGATTTATACCAATTCTCCAGGGTCTTTCTTCACTCAGGTTTACTGGTTGATTTCTTTTAAGCATATCTAAAGTTTATCCAGCTTTTATCACTGAGGCTTCACTATATGTATTTCACTTGCCTCACAACCCTTCTGTTTAAAGTCATACACTGTAAAAGACTCTGTGGGAATTGGCTCTTACCATAGAAAATGGGAAAATTGTTAATTAACCTCAATGGAAATAAGTCACTGACTTTTTTGGGTTATCCCAGGTTCTCTACACATGCTGCTATGTATGATAATCTATGTAACTGTATTTGTGTATACCTAAATAAACTTACTAAAGAAGTGTGGGTAATGGTTGTGAACCTTGTTGCAGCAACAACTTGATGTGGAGATCCAGGAAGCATTCCTGCGCTTCACTGCTACAATCTTGAAGGGCTACAGTGCATACTTACTGCCAATCGTCTCTGCTAAAGCTGGCGCTGCATGCGATACTTCCTCATTATTTGATCTTGATGGTAAGGAAGATGCTGCTTTTGTTTCAGCACCCTTCAGTGAGGAGGGGTTGGAGGCTGATGAGAGGCTCTTGATCCAAGGAACTAGAGCTACCCTCTCTTGGATCAAAGCTGATTACCTCCCATTACCCCTAGTTCTATATGACCATTATAGTATTTTGTGCTTCCCATTCAATGTAAATCACTCAGTAATTTAGTAACAGTCATGATACTTTTTCTCTTGTGGATGCTTCCCATCCTAGAGGTTATACATCTGCTGTACTTTATCTCCACTTGTTTCATATTAGGACAGTATTCCACAAATTAGCTAGACTATTGAGAATTTATGCCATTCCATGTTTAAGGTAATGAGCACAAACTAACCCACTTGCCCTTATGAATTTGAATTTAATGTACTCTAAAAAAATCTTTGATCTCTGTTTCAGCTTTAAGACAAGTCCCTTCAACTCTCTCTCTCCTCCCTTCCTAATCTATAATTGGGTTGGGTAGCATTGAAAATGAGTTGGGTAGCACCAGCAATGGGTTGGTGATGGGAAGTACAGTGCTGGCACTCTGAAGGGGGGTGTTAATGTTGCAGTTTTATAACTGTAGTGTAAGCATGCCTCTTGCAAGACAGTGATGGAGCGAATGATTAAAATTAAAATTAAAATTCTTAATTTCTCTATTGGTATTATAAAATATTATTGCATATTATAAATTATTTATTATAAAGAAGGCCACTAGTATGCCTAGGCATTTCAGGCAGACTAATACTATTTCTTACTCTATATTGACACAGGTTATGGATCATACTGGTATTAAAGTGAGGTAGCTGTAGTGATTAACTAGATTTACAAAAGTGAGGTAGTTCAAAACAGTTAAAAAGTTAATAATTAGTTTATCAATTAATGGGAATGTTCTGGTCTTGGGATGATACAGTTTCTATAATGGAGTGTCTTAGACCGACTTGTGACTAGCTTAAGAATTATGTAGCAAAAGCTATATTCAGAATTTTATGTTAACTGTCATTAGTGTAAATTAGGGGGAGTCACAGATATCAAATAAGCGTATTTTGTTTGGGATATGTGCAAGCTATGGTAGTTTTCATGTGGTTAGCTACCAGTGGGGTGTGTTAGCTACTGGTGGGGTGTGTTAGCTACTGGTGGGGTGTGTTAGCTACTGGTGGGGTGTGTTAGCTACTGGTGGGGTGTGTTAGCTACTGGTGGGGTGTGTTAGCTACTGGTGGGGTGTGTTAGCTACCGTTGGGGTGTGTTAGCTACCGGTGGGGTGTGTTAGCTACCGGTGGGGTGTGTTAGCTACCGGTGGGGTGTGTTAGCTACCGGTGGGGTGTGTTAGCTAACGGTGGTGTGTATTAGCTACCTGTGGGGTGTGTATTAGCTACCTGTGGGGTGTGTTAGCTACCTGTGGGGTGTGTTAGCTACCGGTGGGGTGTGTTAGCTACCGGTGGGGTGTATTAGCTACCGGTGGGGTGTGTTAGCTACCGGTGGAGTGTGTTAGCTACCGGTGGGGTGTATTAGCTACCGGTGGGGTGTGTTAGGAAGATAAGGTGTTTTTTAACATTGCTTTTGACAATGGTGGTTGAGTCAGCAGTTCTAAAGTTTTCAGGCAGGGAGTTCCAGATTTTAGGCCCTTTTATGTATGTACATTGAATTTTTGTATAAATTTAGCCAGACACGGGGAATGTCATAGAGATGTTTGTGTCTAGTATAATGCCTATTGGTCTTGTCACAACTATCAAGAAAGTGTTTTAGTTCAGGGTTAATATTGGAATTTATAGTTGTGTAAATGTAGATTGCAGAATAGTAAGTGTGGATGTTCTGAACAGTGAGTAAGTTTAGGTCTTTGGAGAGTGGGGGGGGGGGGTTGCCTAGCATTGGATTGTGTGATAATTCTTACTGCGGCTTTTTGTTGGGTTATTATTGGCTTTAAGTGGGTAATTACTGTTGATCCCCAAGCACAAATGGTATATGTGAGGTAGAGATAGATGTGTGAATAGTAGTAGTGCTGATTGTGGTACGTAGTAACGTATCTTAGAGAGGATCCCAACAGTTTTGGATACTTTTTTTTATGTGTTGGATATGGGTGCTGAAATTCAGGGTGCTGTCTAGGTGTAGGCCCAGGAATTTGTCCTCATTATGCTTAGCAGTAGGGGCACTGTCAGTCTTAATGTTGAGTTGTGCAACACCTGCTCTGTTACCAAACAGAATATAGAAGGTTTTGTCAGTGTTAAGTGTAAGCTTATTGGCAGTCATCCAGGTTGATATTTTCAGGAGCTCTTCATTAACTATGGTGTTGAGTGAGGCAAGATTTGGGTGGGAGATGACATAAGTTGTGTCGTCATCAAAGATAATTGGTTTCAGGTGTTGTGATATGTTGGGAAGATCACTGATGTATAAGAGGAAGATCAGGGGACCAAGGACACTTACCTGAGGTACTCCAGTATCAAGTGGCCATGATGATGAGGTTGTGTCCTTAATGGAGACGTTGATAAATTAGACACGTGCAACTCTCGGGTATCTTTATTGAGAAAACGTTTCACCACACAGTGGCTTCATCAGTCCATACAAAGGAGAAACGTGAAGAACAAGAGGAGAATGAGGTAATCAGTCCCTCACCCTTGAGTCAATGTGGTCAGTCCATCAATCTTAAATAGAATACAGCATATGTGCAGAGAGTAGCTTGTATACCGTAGGCAGGAGAGGTGCAGCAGTCATAGGTGGTGTCACATTTGTCCAATGTGGAAGTAGGTCGTGCCCATTCATCTACAATCCTGTCAGATACTGCAACTTCTTGGGATCTTAATACTTGGGAATTCTTCGCTTGCCTAACCCTTGGGCACGACCTACTTCCACATTGGACAAATGTGACACCACCTATGACTGCTGCACCTCTCCTGCCTACGGTATATAAGCTACTTCTCCGCACATATGCTGTAGTCTATTCAAGATTGATGGACTGACCACATCGACTCAAGGTTGAGGGACTGATTACCTCATTCTCCTCCTGTTCTTCACGTTTCTCCTTTGTATGGACTGATGAAGCCACTGTGGCGTGAAACGTTTCTTCAGTAAAGATAGCCGAGAGTTGCACATGTCTAATTTATCAACGTGTCGGTTCTCTGAACCATTCATCTTAATGGCGATGTATTGATGCCTGTTAGTAAGGTAGGATTTGAAATGTGTAAGTGCATGGCCTCTTATACCATAATGGTCAAGTTTGTGGAGTAGGATGCTGTGGTCTACTGTGTCAAAAGCTTTTCTTAGGTCAATAAACAGTCCTAATAGATATTCCTTATTTTCTAGTGCAGTGTAGAGCAGGTCTAGCATTTTTACTATTGCATCATTTGTGCTTTTGTTTTTCCTGAAGCCAAATTGGAAGGGGTTGAGTATGCTTTGTGCTGTTATAAATGAATAGTCTCTTGTGCACTAGTTTCTCGAAGATTTTGGATAGTAACAGCAAGTTTGATATTGGCTTGTAGTTATTTACATCTCTGGGGTCACCTTCCACCTAGTGTCGGGAAGGTGCTAGTTTCTTGGGATTTGTTAAAAAGTAATGAAATAGCAGGCGAAAGGGCATGAGCTGCTCACTTGTACAATAATGGTGGGACTTGAGATAGATTCCCTGATTTATTTTTAAGTGACTTGATAATCAAAGTGACTTTGGTGGGTTTGGTATGTGTAAGATAGACAGAGGATGGGAAATTTCCATTTAAGTAGTCACTTGCTCGGGCATTGGTACCTGGGATTTTACTGGCAAGGTTTGATCCTATGGTTGAGAAGAAGTCATTTATCTTGTTGACTGTATCAATAGGCTGTAATTGTGATTTATTTGATTTAGTTAGAACAGTATCCCTGTTTTTTTTTCAGTTTGTGGTTGCCTAGAATCTGAGAGAGTGTTTTCCAGGTCTTTATGTCTCCTCTTGTATTAGTGAATCTGCTGGAATAGAGTAATTGCTTGGCCTTTCTTATCAGTTTGGTGAGAACTGGTGCATAGTGTTTAACAATATCTTTGTGTATTAAACCCTTCCTATATTGCTTTTCATACTGATGTTTCTTATCATTATAGACCTTAGTTTGCTGTTAGTTAGCCATGGGCATCCTGGCCGTTTATTCGTAATCTGTTTTATTTTTATAGGACAATGTTTGTTATATAGTCTAAGTAATTTTTTAAGAAATTTGTCAATCCAGTCATCGATACCATTGGCATTGGAGAATTCTGTAAGCCAGCCAACTGTCTGTAGCTCTATTGTGAAGTTACTTATTGAGGCCTCATCATGAAGTCTAAAAGAAATTTTGTTGTATTCAAGCAGTTGTTTACCAATGTTTGTTAAGAGGAAGGTGGGGCAAAGGCGTCGCTAGAGTTGGTGTCACCTGGGGCGGAATCTCTGGTGTCACCCCCATGAAATTCAAGGGTGGGGGGATGGGGGGGTTAAACTCCAGTTATGTCACTACTGTATGACCAGTGACAAACGTTTAACAATGAGAACGTTTAACCCTTTCAGGGTCGAAAGGCCCTCTCCCAGACTTGTTCTCAGGGTCGCCAAATTTTCAAAAGAAAAAAAAATTATTTTTTCTTATGAAAAGATAGAGAATCTTTTCCCAATCATAATGACACCGAAAATATGAAATTTGATGGAAAACTTATGGAATTATGCTCTCGCAAAGGTAGCGGTCTCGACGATGTTTACGCATCGACGATTTTGCCCACTTTGAGCCCTATTTTCGGCCAATTCCAGTGTACTAGTCGAAAAAAATCATAACTATTTCGCTAGAACTCCATTTTTTTTCTATTGAATGTGTACAAGAAACCACCCATTTACTGATTTCAACTATCCAATAAAGTGGTCAGAATTTAGCAATTTTGCCAATTTCACACAAATTTCAAAAGATGCCAATTTCCAAATAGGGTCCAGAATAAACAAGAAAGACATTCCTGGCACTAAAATAACATTTCCTCTGTTCATTAGTCACGTCCCCAGGCCCCTCTTACATTCTTTTGCTTTC